CTTTTTTTTTTTTTTTTTTACAAAAAGTGACTCTTTTGGTAAAAGCCTTTTTCCTGTTTTCTTGTAACCAAATCCCTTTGCCTTTTTCCTCCCTGAATCTCCTTTCTCTCTGATTGACTGATCCCCTTTCTGGAAAGTTCTTCCGGTCAGAGCTCACTAAGTACTCTCCTGCTTTTTCGAAGAACATTATTTTGAATATCGAGCTTCATAAGGCTTGGCTGCCAGTGACTACATAGTTTCCTCTTCTTGCTACGTGCAATTCTTTTATTTCTGGGTTTCTTGCATCTTTTCCCAGAGTTCTCTGGCTTCTGCTAAGTGCTCTTCCTACCCAGTTGTTTCATTGGTTTATATCCGTATAATCTGACAACACAGTAACTGGTGACTCTTACTAATGTCTATAGTTCCCCGCAGCTCTGACTTCTGCCACACCTCAGTTGGTATAGTTCTTGGAAAACTTGGATTATAGGGAGTCTGAAGTGTCCTGAGACACAGGTCAGCTCTAAACTCTAGCGGGAACCTTCTCCCTGACTTCAGAGGCAATAATTGATTAGTTGTCAGGAAAAGGTGATTAAAGCTGGAAATCATAAAAAGGATAATACATCTTTTAAATATTTAAAATTTAACTTAAAGCACATAAATGGACATTCACTCACCACTCCTTGAGGGAGGGCCAAGGTCTTTCTTTGAGTAGAAGTTCACTGTCGAGACCTCTGCCTGGCTTGTCTTGCATAAACCATATGTATTATGCATTATCTATGCTGCCAACATTAAAGGGATTGAGAATTTGAAGCCTTTTCAGAAGTTAATGAGTGAAAAATTCTTCTAGATTGGTACAGTTTTTCTCAATTTTTTTTTCGCAGTTCTATCCACACCTGTTTGATAGCATTCTTTTTATTGAATAAACTGTAGTCCTTCTAAAGCTTTAACTTGTTCTAGAAACAGCTCTTCTCACATTTGTGTTTTATTGGTTTATATGCTATTGAATTATGGAATTACAATAATCAACACACTGGCACAGAAGGTTGGAGAATAAACATGGCTGAGTCTTGGTCAACACAGTGTTCAACATGTAAGATCAGAAGTATGTGAGCAGCTGACTCGTGAGCCTTCTACCTGCTGTGAGCATTAGTCTGGATCTTTTCAGAAGGCCAGAGATCATCAGTTAATCCAAGTTGGTTAAATAGAGGCTGGTTGAAAGAGTTTGTATTCTACTCTAGCCAAACAGTCTGCTGTTACATAGAACAAAACATTTTGTACCAGGTTTAAGTTCTTAGTAAAGATTCAAAGTAAATTTATTATATACATGATAGACTAATAGGTCTCATCCTTCATGAAAAGTGGTTAGGAAAGGAAAGATATATTTGCAGGTTAGGCTATAACATTTTGACTCAGCTGTAAAGTTTCCCAGGACGATGGATATTCCTACGATGAGCAGTAACAATAATCTCAAGTGGTTTCATACTGAGGACAGAACTGGGCGTAAGGGGTGAGTGTCAGGAAGGCAGGTTTCACATCAGGATGCAGAAGAACTTTCCAGTAACTAGACAGTTAGCCAGTACCTGTCCATTAAATCGTGGATATTTCCCAAGGGCAGTGATTTTCAACCAGTGAGCCGCAATAATTTATAAAACATGCCATACCTGACTGTTTAGTCAGGGGCACTGACCTCTTTCCCTGTAGATTGTCAAATTAAAAATGACAACAGCCAACACAACAATAGCTGTCCAGTGTGAATGGATAAAAATTATACCTATTTTTTGTCAGATCAGCAAAAAATATATTTTTTGGTGTGCCACAGGATTTTAGTAATTAGCTTAAGTGTGCCATGAGATGAAAAAGGTTGGCAATCACTGCCTTAGAGGCATCCAAGGACAGGTGGGACACCCACTGGCTGAAGGACACCCACTTCCTGCAGGACATTGTCCCAGATGACCTTTAAGGTGCTTTTGAACTTTAATGTCCTGGGATTTTTATTTCTAAACTACTTCTTGGCTCTTGACTAATTTTTTTTTTAGATCTGGTCTAATGTTTTTCACCGCCTGGGCCTTTGGCCACTAATCTGTGTTGCTGTGCATTGCCTAAAAAACCTGAAACAGAAATAACTAAGAAATGTCCAGACCAGGCCACTCATCGCATGTAAGAGGGTATGGATATGAAATATGGCCTGATGCTTTTATGTCCTCAGTGCCTGTGATAATTGCTCAATAAAAACTTTATGTCCTCGGGCACTCTGAAGGAAGCAGTAAATATTTAGTCCTGGCAGCTGCAGCCTTCGGACCTCACCCACGAAATGCTGGTCTCTGCCTTGATTAGTACAGAGAGGGGATGCCGTGGTAGGAACGGAATTTTATTTTTAAAACAAGGTATAATGAAAAGAATACAAAGGGATATATATTATAATCAATGTAGGTGTTCCTTACTTTAAGAAAAGGAAATAAACAAAATTCTAAAATATATGCCCTGGCCCATGGGCTTCGTGGTTAGAGCGTCACTAATTGTTGTGACTCTTAAGTTGTTGTGTTCTTTACTCTTAAAGAAATGCAAATAGACAAGATCAGAAATGATAAAACATATAAACTGGAGTATTTGCTTTATGGAATAATTGGCCTTCACAAAATGCATTATAGGGTTTCCTTAAGTATCAATTTTCTCTACATATTTGAGAGCTTATTTTCACATCACAAAGCCAGACCCCAGACGTCGACATCTAGAACCCACCTTCATGGTTTTCCAGCCCAGCTACTTTATTTACAAGTCAGGAGGCCAAAGCCCAGAGGAAAGTTCTAAACGCTGTTCTTGGGGGCACCCCGCCAGTGCTGGGCAGAGTTGGCACAGGAACCCAACCCAGGCCTCTTTCCACTTCTATTGTACTTCTCAGGAATGAGCACGGCGTGGCACCAAATTCTCCTAAAAATTGGCTTCCCTTTCACTTCATTTTTCACTTCATTTCTTTG